GCACCGATGATGCACATCGTGAAGGATTTGATACACATCGACCTTCACCCACGCCATGGATTGCATACACCCTGGGAGCACTCCAATGCCACAAGCTATCACATCAGAACAAAACCCAGAAGACTCAAGCATTCGAGGGGCCACGTGGATCAGGAGCCCGAGGTAGAGCAGGCGGGGCGGGAAATCCAAACGACAGGCCAAGGAGACTAGCCGCGCTGGTACCACAGTGTCGAACAACTTAGTGAGGCCCCAGTGCACGGCCACACTCTTCTGCCCTTCGAACATAGCAACCTCATGGCAGATCTCCCCCCGAAACGCCGCCTGCAAAGCAGAGCTCCCCCTAACAGCATCACCCCAGAACTCCAAGTGGCCCCGGGGCCATTCATCCAAGAAAACCCCTCGAATCTTACAGCGCACCCGATAAAGGGTGGGGCATTTACACACTGGGCGCTCGTCAGTAGCGCTTTTAGGAAGGAGGGCAATGATTCCCCCGAAAATCTGAGAGGGCCACATCACAGCCCGTTCACACGAGGTGCAAGGTTCAGCAAGGGCCCCGAGGGCCCGGGGATCCAAGTGGAGAAAATCTCGGGGCCTTCAATGATCCACTCCTACCGCAGTGGTTCCAGAGAAAATACGGCTCGCAGCAAACACCTCCCTAGGCTCAATGTCGGGGAGCTCAGGGGCCATCTCAAGGGCACGCACGCGCAGCTCATCCAACGCCTCTCCAAGCAACTCGATTCGGGATGGGCTGGCCGTCCAGAAACGGCTCCACTTCATCGCGCGGTGAGCCATCATTTCCTCCGGCAACTGCAACACGCCCTCGGGCGCGATGCAATGCTCCAGCGGGTCACCTTGGTCACGCTTCAGCCACGCATGGGCCTTCTTAGCCCCGTGCGGCAAGGCCCTCAGGAGCCAGTCCTTGACAGCCTTAGCCGAGGAGCTCCTGGCCGCGTGCCAAGCTTTAGTGAGAGTGCAAGAGCACCGATCGATCAACTCCTGACATCGAGCGGGATCGATGCTCGTTAAATCTAAAAGCTGAGCTCGCCACTCAGCAGCAGACTGATCAGCAGGTAAGCACGAGGCATATCCATCTACACGCTGACCAAGGGCATAGAGACGCCGATCCAGTCCAATACACATATGATGGTACCCGTGCTGTACTGCCACACGTAATTCAAACAGCTTCTGGGAAACCGTGGACCAAAACGTAAGAACAGGCTCCGAGAAACTGCCCGACGTGTTGCGGTGATCAGTAAGTGTCGTGCGCCGCATGCTCACGTGTGTGCCACGCCCAATATAACATTCATAATCATGCTCATGCTCAATGTGATCATGCAACATACACATGTCTTCAGTAGCTCTGGACCATAGCTGATACGACGAGGCCAGCTCAGACGATAGGTGCTTGCAAACATGAGGGACCAGATGAGGGCACCGATGATACCCTGAGCGCCACCGAGACAGAGCAGCGGCGAGATAATGAGACAATGGCAAACGCGGGCCTTCCACAGGAGGAAAACTGCGCGGCTTCACCCTCTTGCACAGCTGCTGCAGCAGCGCGGAGCGAGGCACGCGGATATCCAGAGCACAGTGCGTCTTGAAAGGGGACGCGTGATACTTGGTTACCTTCAGGTAAGGCGCCAGAGTCTCACTGGCCACGACATAATCAATCAGCGTACCCTTTCCCATACTGCACGTATAGCTCACACCCACCGGTGGCAAAGCTCTGCTCTGGGTCATCTTCAGAAACCCGCAAAGCTCCATCAGCTCAATGTCAAAATTGAAATCGCCAACGAGAAGCCACGGTATACTGAGAGAATTCACGAAGTTACTGATGTGCCGCATCTTACGTATATTCTCCCCCGAGACCCCCAAGTCAGCGACCACATAGACGACACCTACAGCTATGGTGCACCTGAGAGTTTCCAACTCCAACAACATCCAACCATTCCCAGCACCTACTTCACGGGTGGCCCGGTCATGCGCCAAGAAACGTTTAAAATACAAACCTTTGTGCACAGCGGCCCCGACCCCCCCATGGGCCCCACCCCCAGGGGAAGGGGTGGCAGGGAGAAAGTGGGGCCGCCAGTTCATGGCGGCCACATGCCGCTTTGCATCCTTCAGCTCAGAGGGGAGCTGGCGGTGTTCACAGAACAGAAAGACGTCAGCCTTGCAACGTAGGCCAGCTAGAAAAGACTTAGCCAGCGCACTCCGACGGGTTGTATTACAATACAAAAGCCTCACTTGCCTCTCACTGCTAAAGCTCAGGCTGCGGCATCTGCTGGACCGCGGCCTTGAACAGATCCTTGAACTGAGCTCCCACGGATTCCTGGGCACGTCGCACTCGTTTAGCAGCACGGGCATGAGACTTCTGGGACATGAGCTCCTCCATGCGATGCTGGTCCTGCTCACCGGTGGCGCCCTCAAGGGAGCGCTTCTTGAGGGCAGCCAGCTCGTCAGCAGCCTCGGCAGGAAGATAACCAGCGTCAGAGCCAGCATCCGAACCCGCCTCCGACGCAGGCACCTCGTAGATCTGCCGCTGCATCTCCACGAAGCGCTTGACGAAGTCGAAGGGGAGCTGCCGACCAGCACAGAACTCACGCAATTGGTTATCATCATAGCCAGAAAGATCAGGAAAGTCGTCATGCATACGAACGTCGCCATCTCCGCGTCCACCCGCAGGACGACCACCTGCGCCGTCCGCAGCAGCAGCACAGCCGCCGCCCCGCGCATGGGCGCCGCCCGCAGGGGCAGCGCCAGGCGGGGGCTGAGGCTGAGCCACCCTCGCGGCCGCATCGCGAGCCGCGGCAGCAGCAGCGGCCAGCTCCTGCCGCTTGTTGGCGATCCATTCCACCTCGCGGAAGGCGGTCACGGCGTCGTCCGCAGCCTTCTTCCTCGCCTGCGCCTCCTGCTCCTCGACCTGGGCCGCACGCATGGCAGCCTGCGCCTCTTCCAACTGCTCCTGCAGGCGTTGAACCTTCGAGCTGCGCTGGTGCAGGTCCTGGGAAGCAAGACGAACAGCACGGGCTTGATTCTCCACTTCACGGGTGAGACGTGTGCGTTCAGTACAGGCACCATCATTGAGCTGCGCCTGAGACCATTCGACAACTTCTTGCGGAGGAGGCTGCACGAACTCACCAAGCTGCCCTTGCAACTCAGGGCGAGCAGCCAAGAGAACCTGCGCTGCCGCACGTAGGTCAGCGCCGTCGTCACCTCCTCCTTGACCTTGGGCTTGGGCTCCTCCACCCCCGCCAGGACGACCACCAGGGGCTCCAGCAGCGCTTCCGATGTAGAGGCCACCGCACTTCGAGCAACACCAGTTGCCGTAGGCCCTATACTCCCAGTGCCGACAGGCGGAGCAGACATCATACTGCTTCTTCTTGCCACCACCCCCTTTGGCGCCACCGCGGCCGCGCCAGCCGCCGCCGCCGTTGCGCCATGGGGCGAGGTCGCGCCAGGCCATAGCAGCCCTGCACAGGAATGGAAACCGAAAAGGAGACGGATTAGCACCTGTTGCAAGGGTGCCGTGACTGCAAAATGGCCCCTATGGCCGCACTCGAGCGAGTTTGGGAAGTTCAGGAGCAGGCCCCTTGAGCCAAAATGGCTACGGGAGGGAGGCGGAGGAGGAGGAGGAAGCGGAGGAGGAGGAGAGGAGAGGAACCCGGGGCGCTGTCTCTTCTAAACGAAGACCACAGGATAGTTGGGAAATCATGAACATCGAGCCTGACAAATCGAAACCGTCCCCCGCCACCTCTACACACAAAGACGCCGATCCCAGAGCATAATTTTACGGAATATGATGTTTCGACCAGGCGCGAATCCGACCGACATGAACGTGTTACGGGTGTTACTGACAAATCATGCTGCCAGCCCTGCCTGTGCAAGTCACTCGTCCCAATGAGCGTCTGTGTTACTCATGATTGCAAAGAAAAAACGTACCCGGCTGACTTAGATTCGCATGTGGAGCATGCTTACGGAGGTCAAGCGCTGGGTTCACACGCGGAGGTCCAACACGCAAGCCCATACGATGACCGAACCATGCCACCTATTGGGAACGCAACGTTTACTTCCGCCTGCTTCCGCTGAGCTTCCGCCAGCGGAGCGCTCCCGCTTTTCTTCCGCTTCCCTTCCCTTCGCTTCCCCTCCTCTCTAGATCGCCCGATATGCAACAATGGAAGTACAGCGCGGCTGGCCACACCAACGCAGACGCCGCACTACAGTCAAGATCGGGTTTTGCATCATCAGCGAGATTTGGCCCTAGCAAGGCGGAGCAGCGCACAAAGAGGGCCCCGAAAGGACGACTGGCTTGCAGGCCCGCGAGAGGGCCCCTGAAGACATCCCACGACGCTTCCAAGAAGCTCTCCAGGCCAGGAAGCCCCTGGGAGGCAAACACCTGCGAAAATGTAGAGGCATTCCATTATTTTTCTGTCTGTCTCCCCGCGCCCCCCCCCCTCCAATAAAAACAGCCCCTACAAAGCCACGAGACGCTCTGAAAGACGGCTACGCAACGGCCGAAACTGATTCAAGGAAGCTCCAGGATCACCAAGGCCGTCCTCAAAACAGGCCGCCATAGGGCCAAGGCGGCCCAGGCACAACACCGAGACACAAACGTCCCCGAGATTATTGCACAGTGTTATTCAATCTGGGAGGGCTGGGGGAGAATCGCAGCGCCCGAGACGGCCCATCAGCGGCCTAGGAACAGCTAAGGCCCCGCTGAGCCATGCTGGAAGCACTGCTGGAACGATCCCTGAACCATCTCGATGCTGCAGCGGCACAATGGCATGATCCGCCACGGGAAACTGGAAGTGCACAGGCGCATTCGCAAACGCAGGCATGAAACATCATTGGCCAAGAAGATGAGCACATCGTACGTGCCAGAAGCAACGATTGGGACTCTCCAGCAGCACGGCCCGTGGCCCGCTCGCGTCGCAGAAACCGTGAGCTGCAAGAAATAACGAATTGCAGCTACTACTCCTCGGATGGTGAACTAAGATCTTGACCTTGGGCACCGAGCACACTCTCCTCGGAGGCGGCTTGAAGGCGTCGCCAACGACCTCGGCAAGGGGTAACACTGGCATTCTTCACCGCTCAAACGAACGTAAAAATCACACGCACACACACACACATCCGTGCCACTGAAGCAGTTCACTGCACGGACCTACTCCAATACTGACTGCGATGAACCCCGCGACCCCAATTTCGCGAAGCTTGTGTTTGCATGGGCGCATTGCTTCGCGTTGCTTGGCATTGCTTGGTGTTGCTTTGCATTGCGTGGCATTGCATGGCGCTGCTTGGCATTGCTTGGCATTGTTTAGCGTTGGTTGGCCCTGCGCGGCATTGCGTGACATTGCATTGCACGGATTGGCATTGCTTTGCATTGCTGGGCGTTGCTTGGCATTGCTTTGCAATGCTAGGGAACTCGAGAAGAAAGACATGGGAACCCAAGCAACCCTAGCAAGACACAAGACCGTGGAACCGGCGGGCCCGAGGAACAAGACCAAGGAACTGGAGGAACCCAAGCGAGGAACAAGACCAGGGAAGCCAACGAACCCAAGCAAAGAACAAGACTGAGGTCGGGGCTTCGTAAAACGGGTTTAGCTAAACGGGGGCTTAGGCTTTTCCATAAACCCCCGTTTACTGTAATTACCCCCGTCTACGGCGCCCAGGGCCCCCTAAACGGAGGCATAGCCAAACGTGGAAATCGGCATTCCCCATACCCCCGGTTGCTGTGCCCCCGTCTCTGGCGCCCGAATGAAGGACCTTAAGAAGAAGACCGGGGAAACAGACAGAGAGCAAACAGGAAAAAACATGGAACCCACGGCCCTCGTAAGGAAACCAAGCCAGGGAACCCCGAGCACCCCCACTATAAAGATGCAACCCAGGAACCATAGGGAACCCCAGCGCGACCAGGTCCGACACCGACTGGCTTCAATTGCAAACAAGAACCTCTAAGGCAAAAACGAAATTGGCAATCGCAACGTAGCACAGACAATTACGTGGCATTTTCAACCTGGCGTGCATCGCCGAAGCGCGCACTGAGCCCAACGCACTCTCGGGAGCAAGCCGAGTCGCAGCAATGGGAGGGAAACTGATGCGTACCGCACCACAAGAAAAGGCGAACACGCACACACACACACACACACACAAACACACACACACACAGTTTGGGGGTCTCGGCCTCGCGCGCAACGACGAAGCGGAGCAAGTGAAGAACACACACGCGCACGCGCACACATGTCTCCACTTAAGGGTCGCACTGGCTGGCTGTCAACACGGTGAGGGACCCGAGCAGTGAATTCAACAGCTTGCGTTGAAGCGCGGACACACGCACACGCACACACACACACACAGACACACACACACACACACACACACACACACGTACACACACACACACTCACACTCACACTCACACTCGTACACACACACACACACACTTTTCGTCAGCGGCGAGGCGACGAAATCCGCTCCAGCGCGAAGCTAGATTGGGGCACTAACTGGCGAAGTGGTCGGCGAGCAAAGAGGGAAGGGAGACGACCAAGAGGAAAGAGGGACGATCAGACGCCGAAGAGTTTGACAATGAGCAGCCGGGCGGGCAGCAGCAGCCAGGCGCGCAGGGCCAGAGCGCGGTGGGCGGCCGCGGCGAACCACGGTGGCAAGGGTGGCGGGGAGTGGCAGCCAGCGTCTGGGGCTGGGAAGGGCACAGTGGAACTCCGCGAACGTCGTACCGCGGGCCCCCAGGAGAAGGCACACCACTGAGCCATGCGGGGGCGGGAGCAGCGGATGGCTAGCAGTGACAGGGACACTGCGGCGTGACCGCCCGAGGCCAGGTGGCTGGGGGGTGGGGAGAGGAGGGGCGGGATGCAGCGGGCGAAGCGTCCCAGGCGCCCGCGGGCTGCGGGGCGGGACAACGACGCGGCGGGGAAGCGTGGGGCAGCCAGGAGTGGCAACGCGGATGGACCGCCCAGCTGAGAGGACAGTGGCAGCCCAGGGCCACCAGGGGGCGACTGGGCAGAGAGGGGAGGTGCAGGTTGCGGCGGGCATAGCGTCCCGGGCGCCCGCAGGAGCGGGGCGGAACAGCACCGCAACGGGAAGAGGTAGCGAGGGACCGCCGCGGAAGGAGGGGAGCACCGACGGGTGCAGAAGCTGGGTAGCAACGCAAGGCGGCCCACAGGGCAGTCCAGCGTGGTGCGCTGGAGAACACCGAGGTGGTGCAGGGAACGGTGAGCGAGCGACGCGCGTCCCACACGGGAGGTACGTCGCGAGGAGCGGCGGCGGGGAGCACCGGGATGTGCAGAAGCCAGGCAACGACGCTGGGCGGCCCAGAGAGGGCGGAACAGCGCGGTGCAGCAGAGGAGCACCGAAATGGCGCAGGGGGCAAGGAGTGAGCGACGCGCGTCCCACACGGGAGGTACGTCGCGTGGGGGCGGCGGTGGGAAGCACCAGGAGGTGCAGAAGCCGGGTAAGCAGGGAGGCGCCGAAGTGGTGCAGGGGGCAGTGCGTGCGCGACGCGCCTCCCACATGGGAGGCACTTCGCAAGGAGGAGAGGGAGGGAAGAGGGCCATGTGTGGAGTGGCACGGTGCCCGCGGGCAGCACGCCCCGTAGGAGTGCCAGGTGCAGCCGGGTGGTGGTGGCTGCAGCAAGTGTTTAGCGCCGAGGGCGGGCGCCGGGGGCGTTGTCCCAGGCCGTGTCAAAGCGGCGCTTGCCAGGCTTGCCGCCTTTGTCGCGCCCTTTGCCTTGCTCGGCGGCCTCGCGCTCACGCGTCTCCCGCCTGCGTGTTCTCGGCCTGCTGGTTGCGCCAGACCTGATCCCAGTCCACGTGGATACCTTCCCACTGGATGGAAGAGGCAGGCGGGCCGCAGCCAGCGCCAGGCGCGAAATCGACAAGCGCATGACGCCCACTTGGGCCGTCTTGGGGGCCTCTGGGGCCATCTTGGGGCGGTCTTCGGTGCCTCCTGAGCCGTTTGGGGCGCTGCGAAGACCAAAAAGCGAATGTGCTAAAAATGTGCGTTTCCTCTGGGGATGTACGTTTCCCGTAGGGAATGGGACGATTTTTGCCTCTTGGGGGTCCCCTTTGGGGGCCTCTTGGGGAGTCTTGGGGGCGTCTTAGGCTGCCTTGAAACCATATTGGGCTGGGCCCTCTTGGAACGCTCTTAGGCCGTCTTCGGGCCCTCTTGGACCTCTCCGACGCCGTCTTTGAAGTATCTTGGGCGATTTTGAGGCTGTCTTGGGCCGTCTTCGGGGCCTCTTCGGCGCTCGTGGGGCTGACTTGGGCCGTCTTGGGCCGAAACTTGCCGAAATCAGGGCCATCTGCCTACCCCCCCACCCCCCCTTCTATTTCTCCCGACTACCGGATCGCGACGCTACGCGCGCTTTCCGTCATCCGCCGCCCCCCGTGGTCTTACCACAAGGGTGCCCGGCGTGCTAGACCCTAGGCGGGGCGAATCACCGCCGCCCCCTGTCTTTCTGGAAACGCCTATGTGGCAGACCGTTGGGTTAGAGCTTAGCCAAGCCATCGGACCATGTGTTCCCCGAGTCGGTTTGGAAAGCCTTCTGGGAACACGTGGGGGAGGAGCAAAAGGAGGAGGGGTAGGAAAAAGGAGAGGGAGGAGGAGGCCTCTTGAGAGCCTCTTGAGGCACTCTTGAGCTCTATTGGGCCATCTTGGCGGTTTGGGAAGCATCTTGGGACCGTCGTGGAAGCCATATTGGGATTATCGTGGGGCCTCTTGGGGCCATCTTGACCGTCTTGGATTCTTCTCGGAGGCCATCTTGGGCCATATGGGCTGTCTTGGAGGCGTCTTGGGAGCGTCTTGGAGGCCATCTTGGCCGTTTTGGAAGGATCGTTCGTGGACTTTGAGGTCCTGTATGGTCTCTCCGTAGCTGTTGAGGCTCTATTGGGGTCGTTGTGTGGGCCTCTTGTGCCATCATGGGGCCATCTTGGAGGCCTCCTGTTCTTCTGGAAGAGCCTGTGTGTCGGAACGTTGTGACTACAACTTGTCCTGTCTAGTTCCCCGAGTTGTGTTCGAAAGCTTGCGGGGAACACGAGGGTGATAATGACCGCAGTGAGGACTTCAATCTGGTCTCACTCACAGTAATTGGGGGGCCTCTTTGAACTGTATGTGGGGTCGCCTTACGTAACGGGGCGGCCATAAAAAGTAAAAGATCTGTTGAAGGTCTCGACATAACAGAAGAGTGTTGCACGGCTACTAATGTTTAGAGGGATGTCGTGTCTTGCTTAGAAAACACCATTTGCTCGGTGTCTGGGTACTGGACAATGTGTTCTCCGAGTTTGTTTGGACAGATTTCGGGGAACACGTGGGCAATAATGAGTTCAGTGAGGACGCCGAGTTGGTTTCCCTCGCCCATCTTGGGGTTCTCCCTGGACATGCTTTTTAGGCTCGCCCAACAGAAGGGTGGGTAGTTTTGGGCCCAGCGGGGCTGTCCAGGACCGCTTGGATTCGTCGGGGCCCTGCGTTTATATGTCAGTGGAAACGTTTTCGGAAAAAACATGGGTCCTCCATCACAGCCAGCTCCGCTGATGTTGATGTTGAGGAAAAGCCAAAATCTTTCAAAAACCAGAGGGCAATTATTGAGTTTCGCACCCTCAGGCCTTCCTGGAGGACCTCTTGGGCTCCTCTGGGGCCATCTTGGAAGCCTCTCGGGCCCATCTTGGGCCAGCTTGCCCGTCTGAGCGGCCATCTTGGCCGTCTTGGAGGTCATCTTGGCCGTCTTGGAGGCATCTTGGAGGCCATCTTAGCCGTCTTGGAGGCCATCTTGGGCGTCTTGGAGGCATCTTGGGCCGTCTTGGGGGCCTCTTGGGGTCGTATTGGAGGCCTCATGGGGCCATCTTGGAGGCCTCTAGGGCGATCTTGGGGCGATCTTGGGGACCTCTTAGGCCGTCTTGGGCTGTCGGAAGGCCGAAAAGAAGCAAATGCCAACATACTTCAAAAACCTTAGGGAAACAATGATGTTGGCCTCTGCGGGCCCTCGTGGAGGACCTCTTGAAGGCCTATTGGGGCGTCTTGGAGGCATCTTGAACCCTCTTGGACCCTC